ATTTCCTCTTTATTCAACTCTGCTTTTTCTTTTGGATTAGAGGGAAGATACATTTGATTGGGACTTTGGAAGTGACTTAAAGATATATCTACATTCACTTTTTAAAGAAAGCAACATTAACTGGAAGGCTTCCCTGACCCCTTCAGGCAGAATCAGGTCTTCCCTCCTCTGTGCTTCCTCTCTGCCTAGCACATTCCTCTACAGAACAGTTATCACTTTGAATTATAAGGAAGTATTTTAACAGGCTGTGAGCACAACGAGCACACCTCTGCCACCACACCTCCTAACTCAGCACCCAACACACAGTTGGTCCTCAATAGATGTTTTCAAAAGGAATAAAAATAAGAGAAGTAGATGGAGGTCTTCTTAAGTAAATGCAGACTCGAAACCCAGTTTCTATGCTAATTAGTACTAAAAGAAGATTAATTTACTGTCTCGGTAATCAGCTTCTCTGACCTGATTATATATTGAAGTCCTGAGCATCTCTGCTAATATTACTATTTATGCAGCATGTAAATTAAGACAACTCTTAGAAAACTGAGAGGTTTGAATTCCTGTTCTGTAATACAGGGCTTCTTAATTAATTCAAAGTACCCTTTTATAAATAATAACCTAAGAAGAACCAGTAGTTTTGTTGAGTAGTTCCTGTTCTGTGTCCAAAATGCAGTATTTGATCCTCCTGTCCACGGAAAGTAGTGAGGAAAAGCATTCTTATCCCTACCTCATAAATGAAAATATCACCCACCCAAAAGAAAATTTATTTAAAGTTACCCAGCTTGTATGTGGAGGAGCCAATGGTACAAGAACCCGTTTCCTAAGACTCTCTTCTTTCTTTACGCCACAATGACTGGATCAATAGTTTTCAAGGTATATCCTAGATCAGCAGCAGCCTCACCTGGGAAATTGTTAGCAATGCAAATTCTAGGCCCCAATTCCAAACTTAACTGAATTGAAAACTGTGGGTGGGGGCTGGAGGAGGAGGGAACGGAGAACCAGCAATGTCTAACAAGCCCTCCAGGTGATTCTAAAGCACACTGAAACTTGAGAAGCACTGCTCTAGATAATGTTTTTAAAAAGATTAATATTAAAAAAAGATTCAAGCTATATATGTAATTCGTTTCATTGTAATACAAAATTGCTTAAACCGAAGTTAAAATCCTGCCTGAAATTTTAGATATATTCATTATCAATTCATAATTTATTATTTTGCTAGATTGTCAAGTTAAACTGTTTGTGCAAGGACATAAAATTTTTGCCTTATGTAATACTATTAAGCATTTTGTCACAATTTTCCAATTATAGTTAAGGTTGAATAAAGTAATTGTGATAAATTCAAAATTGCACTTAAACTTAATCTGATCCCATCAACATTAATATCAACTTTAGTGCCTATAATTTGACCATCACACTTAAAAGGGAAAGAATATAGCAAAAATTATACCACAGGGTTCATTTGAGGAAGAGATGTTTATTGGTTAAATAGTGAAATAAATGGAAAAGATAATGCAATTTTCCATATGTATGCCAAATGAAATCTTTGCTTAAGAAATTCATCCAAAAATGAAACTTGGCAGTTTTCCCCTCGAGAAGTCAGCTCAATTTTTTGACGGTGACAGAGTCCCTGAATGATCCCTGACTTACTGCCTTCAAGCAACTGAGAGCTAATCAAAGGTCTACGAAAGGGTCTTAGAAAGATTCTACTTGCAGAGATAGAAGCAGCGTGTGCTATTAACATATAGAGCAGAACGAGCCATTGAAACTGTATAGGAAAAGGAGCAAATAGTCTTCCAGTAGATTTCAATTATGAAATATTCTTAATTTAGGGGAAAATTGCTTAAAGGTGGTATGCTAATAATCCTAATGCACTCCAGCATTGTTACACAGCAGTATTTGTGGTCTAAGTTGAGAATTTTAGGTCTTCATTTTGAACCTTTACTACATTTTTTAAAGAAATTCAGATGTGCTACTAAATGAGGAAAAGAGATCAGTGTCAAACCTTGAGCCGACTCACAATATTTTGGAGCTGATGATCCAGGCTAAACATTATGGGCTTTTTACATTTATGCCTTTAAACACTTTAGCAATGAAATGGCCTCCTTCTTCTGCTTGCCTCTTCTTTCCCCCACCTTTAAATATCAGGAATTTCAACAAGCTGTTAATACTCCTTGATTAACTTTGGCAGATTCTAGTCTGTAAATCATTTTCATGGTGGCACATTGCATTCTAGGACAGGTTATCAATATTGTGTCCCAATGACAGTCTTGTCCTTTTCCACATACATCCTTTTCTCTCTGCCCAAGGAGAATTGATCCTAACCATAAAGTGGAAAGCTATTTGAGGAAAGTGGCTAAAAGGTTTGGGTGCTGACAAGCACAAAAACCTGAGCTCAAATAAATACCTGTGATTACGAATAGACTCAGCTACAATACAATGTCTAGTATGAAGTTAGCCCTCAATTAAAATTGGAATAGGTGAAAAATAGTAGTAGTTATGTCTTTTATTGATGTTGTACTTCTGTGTACCATGCCCATTTCTAAGCAGTTGACCAACACTGTTTTATTTAACCTTCACAACACCACTTCATAGATAGGTGGCATCATTTCCATACTATAGCTGGAAATTGCGCACTAACAACAAAAGCAGGACCTTTGGGAAAAACTTCAAACCCAGGTGTTCCTGACTTCAGAGTCTATGCTCTTTTTACTATACCACAATGAATGAAGGAATCCAGTGATAGTTGACAGAACTCATTTCTAGAGCTCCTTTACTCATAACAGACTGATTTGGAGGAGGCTTATCATTAATAAAATGTCTCCTTCACTGCCCTGGTTAAGGTTATGACGTTGCCAGCACTGGAGTAAACTCCCGCTATGAGTCAAAGCCTCTTTTCTCCCAGATGCTACAGTGCAGACTGTTTACCTGAGATGGGACCAGAAGAGCCCAGTTACATCTTCGATTGAGTGCAGTAATCACTAAACTTCCATAAACAAGAGTGGGTGAGGAAAGGCATGGAGCAAGAAGTCCTGAGGAGGATGGCCAGCAGTTTGGGCTGGGGAAAGCAAAGGCCATTATGAATGCAGGGGATCCCAGAAGAAGCAGAGGTGGTGGAGTAGGGGCTCTTTACCTACTTGGACAGTTTGCTCTTGTTCAGCAGTACTAATGATATTTGCAAGGCCAGACTCAAAACTTCCCAGAATACCTAACTTTTTTTTCAAGTCACAAAATTATTAAATCTCCCTTTGTCCTCTTAAAGAAAAAAAAACTTTCATGGTACTGAGACTTAAGTCCAAGAAAAGAGAGTGCCTCGATTATTCCTTTAACAAATGTTTATTGAACATTTCTCATATGATAGGCACTGAAAGAAATTTAAAAATGAATAAGACCATCCACTTTGACAATCTATTTGAAGACACACCTACATGAACAACTGCAATATAATTCAACAGAGGTTGTACTAAAGCTTGTGCAAGGCCCTACTGGAACAAGAAGGGAGTTGCATACTTAGCCAATCTTGGAAAAATTTCACCAGAGAAAGGACGTTTAAGCTGATATCTACATGCAAATTTCCAGAGGTGAGACAATATGTGGCTTGTTTGGAGAATAGTGTGAAAGTCCATATGCACATAGAAAGAGTTTTTAATTTATTTAAAATTGTCTAACATTTACTCTTCAAAGCCCTTTACAAGCATTGGCTTACTTAATCTTCAAAATGTCCAAACCAAATTTTACAGATAAGAAAACTAAGGTTTAGATAAGCTAAATAACATGTTCAAGATCTCACTCGAACAAAACTAACACACAAACCCAGATAGCCAGGCTCTATTGCATAAGTTCTAACCACTACCTAGCACTGCCCATACTGCTAACACATGAGGATGGAAATGTAAGTTGTGAAAGACTTTATATATCCTGCAACAGAGTCTGAGCTTGATAGTGTGTGACCACCAAAGGTTTTGAGGCAGACAAATAACACAATCATATCGTGATTACAGAAATGTTACTCTGGGGTCAGCATAAAGAATGGATTGGAGACCAAGAAAACTGAAAGCTAGAAAACCTGTTAATATTTTGTTTCAAAAGCATAGGCAAGACAGGCTGAGGGTTTTAATCATGATGATGGGTCTGCATAAAAAGAAAGAGAATAAAAAGATATTCAGTGGTAGTACTAACAGGGTTTGGTAACCCTGGGAACACTAGGTGGAGGGTGAGGTGAAGATCAGAGTCCAGGTTGACACAATTTCTAGCCTGAGTAACCGGAGACATGATGAGAATCCCTTGGTCAAGCATTAACCAAGGCGGAAATGTGAGAAAGGGGAAAATTGGTTAAGGCAATTAGTAAGTTCACATTGGAGTACCTTGAGTTTGAGGTAATCCTAGAAATCCAGTACTTTAAGGAACGGTGATGCCTAGAGATATGAATGTGCTTGTCATTGTCTTGGATTTAGCTGAAGTCATGGAGGCAGGTGAACTTAGTGGTGATGATAAATTTCAAGCAAAGGTGGAAGAAGAGATCCCTTACAAGGTAATCTTTGGGCATGAGAGCTGAGGAGAGGAAAAGACTCAAAAACAAAGAAGGAAGAGAGGAAGGAAGGAAATGAGTAAGGGAGGAGGGAGAAAGGGAAGGAGAGAGAGAAGAAGGAAAAGAAGTGAGAGGGAAGGAGGAAAGCACAAAGGGAGGAAGGAAAGAAGAAAAAATTGGGGAATAAAGGAGAAAATTTTAAGCAAACTAAAGAATCTGATCATCTTAAATTTCTGAAATATATTCTCATTCCAGGTAGAGATTTGTCTTGTAATTTCCCCATATTTCATTTTCTCTTCCATTAATTTGAGTGGTACTTTAAAATATCATTATTTTAATAGCTAAATAATTTAAATTGTCTAGCATTTGCTATATTATTTTCAAGTAAGCAACAAAGACATCTTCTAATGTGCACATTCTCAGCCAAAGTCAATAATTCCAAAAGAGAATCTTTTTTAATGTTCTTTTTGTTGTCTTGTTGTTGTCGTCAGCTATTTAATTAGGTTTTTCTTAAGACATTTAGAACACAAATTTGTGAGGATAAATTCCATTCATCAGGGCAAACACGGATCACAAGTTGCCCTGGAGCTGAGGAATAGCTTTGATTTTTGGTAAAATTTGTGAGTCCACAGCTTTCTGTTCAATCTTGCGCTGCTCTGTAATCTGGTGTTTCTCTTTTTCTGTATCAAAGATCTCACCTTCCTGATGTCTGGGCTTCCTCAGCTTCTTCTTCTTGAAGTAAACACCAGTAAGATGTTTTGGGATTTTCATATCGCATATACCGAGGTTTGCCACAGACTTCAGGGAAAACCTGAAAGCATTACAAAAAAACAAAACAAAACAGGAAACACTTCCATGTTGAATGTGCTTAGGCATTTTCTACCTTTGTTTTTCAAAGAGAGCAAGTTCAGATCATTTAACAAATGGTATTGGTATGTATTTTTCAACAAAGTGAAAATTGCACCAATTAAGCGAGCACTGACACTTAACAATTCTCAGCTTGAGACTTGTCTCCACTAATTAAAAGAGATGAATATTTGTATTACTGATAAATCACTATCATTAAAAGTCATATTTTTCAAACACAAAAATGCTAGATTTTATTAGAAATACTTTTTCAACGATATAAACATGAATCTGTGTGTATGAGAAAAGTATACATACTTTAACACTATGGCAAGATAAACAAAACTTACACTTAGTATCCAAGTCTTTTCTTGTAGTGTACATGAGTCCAGAAGCAACCAGAGCAGGAATCATCTATGAGTGTCATAGCAAGCACCAGCTAATTTGGCCCCAAATGCATAGCAGTGGTTTAAAAGGCGGAACCACAGAAATGAGTGACAACTCCCTTGGTTATCTTCTTTCTTTGGCTATTTGCCATTCCACTAGTTGGATTTCAGTGAATAACAAAACTATTGGTAATACAAGTACTACAAGGAATATTATTTTGCACTTAAATTTTCAAATATTTTAAAATAAAATTTTAAATATTTGACATAGAGCACAGGTACAGACGTATTGGCAATGTCATCAACTTAAGTGGTCAGTAGCTTTGGCGGCTATAGCAGGTTGTAATCACTCATATAATATGATCTGATTTATGTGTTTAAAGGACCACAAGCTTCTGTGTGGAGAATGAAGTGAAGGCAAGTCAGAGAATCCAGTAGGAGGCTCTTCTTGTACTGGTACAGAAAAGATGATGGCCTAAACTAAGAGTGGAAGGTGGAAATAAAAAAAGGTAGACAGATAAAATAAAAAAGGTTTTTGTTTTGTTTTTTATTTGTTTGTTTGTTATTTGAGACAGAGTCTCACTCTGTTGCCTAGGCTGGAGTGCAGTGGCACGATCTCAGCTCACTGCAGCCTCTGCCTCCCAGGTTCAAACAATTCTCCTGCCTCAGCCTCCAAAGTAGCTGGAATTACAGGCATGCACCACCACGCCTGGCTAATTTTTGTATTTTTAGTAGAGACAGGGTTTTGCTAGGCTGGTCTTGAACACCTGACCTCAAGTAATCTGCCCGCCTTGCTCTCCCCAGCCCAAAGTGCTGGGATTACAGGTGTGAGCCGCTGCACCTGGCCCAGATTGGTGGTATTTTTTATAGTCAACTGTGCATATGTGTTAATTGACTGGATGTAAGAAAGCAAAGCACTGAATAGGGAATAGCTGGATAAATGGGATGCTGCTTTCTGAGATGATAAGAGTTGTATGAGCAGGTATGGGGAAAAACTTGTGTAAAGTTTGAGATGCTTACTAAACATTCAGGTGGATGTCAATTCTCTCCTACATTAGGTATTTATGATAATGTGTAATTTGGAAAATTGTTGTGGAGCATAGAAATAATGTATTTAACTCACCTAGCAGACGGGCTAGGTTATAACAGATGCTTAAAAGCAGTGACTGTGTTTGTTATCATTGGAAATGCACAGAAAGTGGGAAATGTTATTGGGACTAGTAGTTGAGAACAATCAGCAATATTGATTTAGATTTTTTTTAATCACCTGCATAGCATAAGTTCAAGTCAATAAAACTTTTGAACACCTACCATACCCCAGGTATTGTACTAAGTCTTAGGAATGACAAAGACAGAATCTCTCCTTTCACAAAACTTGGGGCAAATTACAGAAGAGAATGGAATGCTCAAAGGGTAGAAATTAGAGAAAAAAAAGAAAAGGCTGCAACTTGGTGGATACTTTGTCAAATATGCAAGAAGAAAGAAGAGCCAACAGAGGAAGCAAATACAAACAAGGAAAGAGACAACCAGTATCACAAAACCTAGACAAGCTTGGAGATGTTGCCGCAAGAGGAGGGGTGTGTTTTAACAATGGGGAGTTGATCAACAAAGTTACCTAGAAAGAAAGTGAAAGATGAATCAAAGCTAAGAAAATGTCAGAAGATTACAGGCAACTGTCACCATTTGTATGTACAGTGAAGAGATCAGAAACTAGATTGCCTAGGACAAATGACAAAGCAGTAAGTAGTGTCCTCTGGGACAAAGAATGTATCATAGCAAAAGTTTGGCAGGATAAGGAGAAAAAGAAATAAGTACAGCTCTCATATAGCAAAATCTAATACTTAAGACTCAAGAATATCAAGGACACAGATGAAAGATTTTCATCCTAACTCTGTACCTGAGAGAATCTAAAAATTGAGCCAAGATCGCTTTATTTATATAGGTGATATAATTTATCTATCTATACATACATATACACAATTAAGGACCTCTTTTAATCAATTTTCTTTACCTTATAGGGAAATTGGACCAGTGTAGCATAAATTCATGATTGTAATTTCAAAAAGAATATCAAATGTTATATTCTCCTACTTAGGCTTTTCCTTCCTAGTAATACATCAGAGTAATGTTTTATTGCAAATTTAAAAGAGCCATAGAATGCTGATTCTTTATTCCTGGTTTCAATATTAACTGATGCATGTCTCTGGACAAACAACAGAACCTTTACAAGCTTCTATTTTCTTACTTATAAAAGACGGTTGGAAATCTCCTTCATATTTAAGAAAAAAAAGGAGGGGTGAAACTGTCTCATCATGAGTTTACAGTATGTAGAAGAACCATTCCAAGCATTTAAAAATTAAGGAAAGTCCTAATTTGAAAATCAGTAAGCCTGATAATCCCAGGTTTTAGATGCTGGCATAAAGGTAGACACGGTCAGGTTGGTAGCCTGATTCACTGCTGGGTGAGGTCACTGTCAGAATAGACAGAAAAAATGGCACAACTCAATGTGCAGGAAAGTACATAGCCATGGTCTCCAAATCACCAACGGGAAAAATCTAGGTTGATGTTTTCACTATTAATTGAGTTATTAGTTTATATAACTAATTGGGTCACAGACTCGACTTAACATGCACAAATGGTTCATAAAGATATATAAAGATATGCTCATTTTCAGCTAAAGATAGACAGGCAGATTACTATTATTTTTAATGATTATATTAAATATTTTAACAAATAATATTAGCCAATTGGGTGTTTACTCTGTACCAGGCACTTCTAAACACTTTGCATGTGTTAATTCAATGCTCACAGCCATATGACGTAAGTCCTTTCATAAGCCCCATCTTTTGTTTTTCTTTTTTATGGAGACAGTCTTACTCGGCCGCTGAGGCTAGAGTGCAGTGGCGCTATCTCACTGCAACCTCCGCCTCCCAGGTTCAAGCAATTCTCCTGCCTCAGCCTTCTGAGCATATGGGACTGCAGATGGACATCACCACACTCAGCTAATTTTTTGTATTTTTAGTAAAGACGAGGTTTCACCATGTCTGCCAGATTGGTCTCGGACTCCTCACCTCAGGTAATCCACCCACCTCGGCCTCCCAAAGTGCTGGGATTACAGGCCTGAGCCACCATGCCTGGCTCACTCATCTTATAGGTAAGTAAGTTAGACATAGAGAAAGTTAAGTAATTTACTCAAGTTTATCCAGAAAGTGATTGGCAGTCCTAGAATTTGAACCCAGGTGGTTTGGCTCATGATATTTTACCTTAACCATCACTCCATACTCTCTGCTATAAATATGTATCTGCCCCCTACTATATTATTAGCATTGTACTGGGCACTGCGGCACAATAGTGAACAAGGTAGACTGGGTCCCTGCCTTCATGGACCTTCTAAAATAATAGAAGATATAGACAAATAAGCAGATGAAACATAGTATGCTAAATGTTGTAATAAAAGAGAGAGAGTGTCCCTTGGGAGCACTTAGCAAGATCACAAGTTAGATATTTTTGGTGGGAGAGGCTATATCAGGGAAGAGTTCTTTGATGCAATAAACAATGGAAAGATGAGTAAGTGGTCACCAGGAGAAAGGAAGTTGGAGATGAAAGGATGAAGAGGGGGAGTGAAAGAGTAAGAATGTCCAAGGAAAAGAGAGAGCATGGAGCCTGAATTCAAAAAGCTATTCATACTTATATATTTGGAGAAAAAAGAGAAGAGGTGGGAGGTGAAATTAGAGATATGGGCAGAAGCCATGTCTCATATGGATTTATACTATGTTTAAAAGTTTGGTTTCTGTCCTAAATCCAAAAACAATGACACCAAATGATGTTAGAAGAGCAAATGAAATGATGTACAAAGATCATTATGGCTGTTGTGTGGAGCCTGGATAGCAAGAGGACAAGAATAAAGGCAGCAGGGCCAGTTAGCAAGTGAGTACCACTGGGGAAGTAAAGGGTACTAATAGCGGCCTGATCTACAAGAGTGGCAATGTGGGAACATGAGAAGGACAAATTTAAGAGGTATTGAGGTAGGAAGCACAGGACCTAGGGACAGTTGTAAGGAGGAGACGTAGAGAAAGGACTGTCAGGATTCACTACATTAACAAATGTTAGGTGGTCTTTTGTTTTGTTTTGTTTTGTTTTGTTTTCTAGCAGGGCACAGCTTTCTGGTGTAGAAGTGGAGGATCCAAACAGCTGAATTTAAGCAGGGTTGGGATTCTGCAGGGGTGTGAAACGCTGAAGCACGTTGGGGGAAGTTGCTGGAAAGAGAACAATTAAAAGAATAGAGTATAAAATCTAATTTAAGTAGGGAAAAAGATAAGTTAAAAGGTAAGGGGTTCAAGGAATTGGAGGTCCATATTAGGCTGCAGAAGAGATGACAGTGAGTGAGAAAAGAAAAATATATGGATTGTGGTCAGCCAATTGAGATGTTGAAACATCAGAGTTGGAGCAGTTCAATAGTACACAAGATCTAAAGTGAGGCCGAAGTGATGACATGACCTATGATAACACCAGGGGTCTAAATAGTGAATAGTAACTAATGGAGAATGGAGAAAAACATCAAACACAGAAAGAGTATCAC